GCGTCATCGTCACGCCCATGACGCACACGTACCTGGGCGACGTGCTGGATCACTGCATCATCATCACGGAGGCGCTGGAGCAGTGCAAGCAGAGCAGCGAGAACTTGATTAACCTCATTTTCAACACGATTTCGGCGAACCAGAATGAGAGCATGAAGCAGCTTACGACGGTGACGATTATCTTTTTGCCGTTGACGTTTATCACGGGGTTCTTTGGGCAGAATTTCCCGGAGGAGGGGTTTCCTGAGATTCAAAACGGGATATGGTACTTGTGAGTTTTCCCCTCATCTAGGTATTATACGGGGTGGAAGGATGAAGAAGCTGATGAAGACATGTGTTTTTAGCTGGGCTTGCGCTGTCCCCACGGCGTTTGCGACGGTGCTTATTCTCATGCGCGAAATGATTTATGCGTGGTTCGTGCGTGTGATTCAGAGGAAGCGGGTGTTGAGCAACAGGAAGAGGAACAAGGCCAAGAGGAAGACGAGGTGAATTTTGGGATATAGCAGTTTTCTGTTTTTCGTTTGAGGAGAAGAAGAAGAAAAGAATCGTCTTGGTGTGGATAGTGGTGGAAAATGTCGAGATACCCTTGAATGTTATCCGTCTTGGTATATAGATGCTTTTTTTTATTAATCATGATTTTGTTTATTACTTGCATAACATTATCTGGTAAGAGGGTGTTGAGGATACCTCATCGTAGACCAAAGGTGAAAAAGAAACCTCATCATCTCATTACATTACGCCCAACCCGTTTAGACGATATACCGCTCCTCATCAAGCAGCGTCTTCTCTCTCCAACTCTCCTCCACCCACTGCTCGCTCACCAACCGTGGCATCTTGCGCCTTGAACTCAATCTCGAGCGCAACTTGTCGCCCACGTCCCCAATCTCCATCACATCGTCTCCCAGCACGACAATATGCGTGAGCGTCTCGTCGTCTAGCTCCTGGCTGCACGATCCGCCACCATATCGAATATATCGCTCCCATTTATCCTTGGTCTTCTCTTTTGCGTCGTCGGCGAGGTAGAAGAGCACTCTGCAGCGCGAGAACATGAAGTTTCGTAGCGTGGCGACGTCTTTGCCGTGCTGTTCTAGCTGTTCTAGAAAGAGAACCTTGTCAAATGCCTCCATTCTTTCGAGTTTCGGCATGTTGCGCACTAGTTCTCGTAATTCTTCTACGCTTACATCTCGTGCATAGCTGTCGCCGAATTGATCTGTATTCTGCGCTGCAGCATCGACCAAGGCGTCTGTCGCATGAAATAGATGGCTTTCCTCATATGGGAGCAGAAATCCTTCGTTGGGTTGCTCCAGACAGTCTTTGATCCATCTGGGCCGGATAATGTCCACGTCCCCGTCTTTGATTAGGCTGGCGACCTTGACTACTTTCTTGTCACCGATGAGAACCATTTTTGTGCCTGCGGCGGCCCTCTGTGAGATGGAGCCGCCGTTTTCCTTGATGATGGATTCTATCTGTGTTTTTGTCTTTTTGTATGGTTTCAGGGACTCGGAGAGCACGCAGAACTCGAGACCTTCGAATAGTTTTGACTTGTCGTCTTCGTATTGAGGGGGGGCCGCATCATCGCCCGCAATGACGAGCTCCTTCTTGATTCGCTTTGGATTCCGTCTTCTGCGATCTTCTACCGTCATCTCAATCGCCTTCAACTCGGTTTCTACCCTCTGTTTGAGCTCTTGAAACTCTTCCAGGGATAGTGCCGTGTCCCAGCTGCGGTCTAACCGTAGCCTTCGGAACCGGGGAAATCGTAATGTGAAGCCACGGGCGAACTGATCCGAAGGGCCAACGCTGGCGGCCTTGACAGAGACTACAACAGAGTCTTTCGGTCGAATCCACACGTCGGGCCGTTCATATTGCTTGGCTTCGCCACCACCCAGCTCAATGTACTCTGACGGCGGGTTTTTAGGATCCCATTCCATCCATTTACCGTCAGTGCGATGCCGAATCTCGGCATAGTCCTCTGTTCGAAAGCCGCCGCCGACTTTGAAGAAGCTAAAGCACTTTTCTGGGTTGGCACCGGCCTGTATGTGGTTCTGAGTGACGCGGAGACCGCACAAATAACTCGACAATATTCCTCCTCTTCTTCCCGAGCCGTAGTAGCCACCGATGATGACACAGTCGAGCGACTCGCCAAACTCTGACATGTACTCGGGCTTCACTTTTAGCCAGTCATCGTTGCGGCTGTTTAGGCGATACATGGATCGTGGATTCTTTAGGACGAGGCCTTCTGATGCGTTGGCAACCACTTCTCTCAAAAGCGGCTCAATGGCATCAGCTGATGTTGCCTTTGTGTATTCGTGGACTTCTAGTCGTCGATGTACTGACTTGACTGCCTTGCTGAGAGCATTTCGGCGATCGCGCAGGGTATACTGGGTCAATTGCTTGTCGTTCAGGTATAGTATGTCGAATACTCGAAACAAGGGGCGGTGGCCGGCCGCGTTCGAATTGGACTTGTTGTTTTGTTCCGCAATGGCTGCAGTCTTTAGAGTACCAAAGGGAACAATCTTGTCAACGCCCATGTCCCAAGTAATCATCTCGCCATCCAAAATCAGGTTTCGCACGCCGGGAGCAAAGGCATTCTTCAAATGTCTCGTCAAGCTGGAGTTTTCATCCAGCAGCCCGTTGCCGTATAGGTAGGTATAGTCCTTGGCCTTTCTTGACCAGAAGCAAAACCGTCGTCCTCCTGGATGGCTGGGATCCTCCATCATGTGCATCTGCATGCGCTCACCATCCAGCTTTTCCTCTATCCAAAATTCGGCGTCATCCTCCGTCGGTCGCAGGAGTTCAATCATCTTTTGGAACGAGGCTGGCATTTGGAACTGGGCGAGCTGCGGTTGGAGGCACTGCATCAGTGCAATACCCGCCTCATCCTGTTCAAGTCTAAACTCGGGATCGTAAAGTTCCCAACACACGCGCTTGAGACTTGACGAGACACTGAAGAGAGCCTCGCCATCGGGGTGCCACAGATACAGAAACGTCTTTTCGGTAGCGCCCACCTTCATCTGCTTCAGAATGATGCGAATGAGCCACATAAGCTCTTCCGCATTCATGCGGTTGTAAAAGGTTTCAAAGATGGCAAGGTTCTCGGCTTCTCCGCTCGAGGCAGCCAGCTTGTCCAATTGGTGATTGACCTCTGCAATCGTCATGTCGCCCACCTGGGTGCGCATCGGCCGTTTGGAGATGACTTCAAAGCATCGGCCGGCGAAATCGCCTGCTAGACGTGCGCCGGTTGTCTGGCCCGGCAGCTTCCAGTGCAAGAGATTGTAACCGTCCTCGGAATTTTTGTCAATCTTCATCAGCTTGACGAGAAGCTTCCCTATAGCATTCTCTTTCAGGCCGTAGACGCCACGATCACGGTCCTTGTCTGGTAGGATGAGGCGCAGAGCAGGATAAAAGTCATTGCCGACTTCTTTTCTCCATCGCGTGATGAATCTCTCGACAATGTGCCGCCGCTGTTCCTGTGGCGATAGCTTGGCCAGTCCATGAGGGCCCTTTTTGCTGGCAGGCACCGATCCGCCAGCGGGCTGCTTCTTGTTGTCATTCAATGGGTTGAAGAGATCCCTGAACAGCTCCGAGAACCTGAGCGTCTTTGAGTGATTCCTCGGCTTATGGGGATATCTTGACCAGTGTCAGGAGTCAGGGTCAATGACAAATACAGACCAGACGGCAAACTTACTTTTCGGCTAGTTCTTCCTCTGTTAGCCCCCCTGTGCCGTATTGAAGGTCATCTTCCCTCAGCGCATCCTCGTTGGGAGTCTTTTGCTCCTTGGCCGACCATTTGCTCATGTCGCGCTACGCCCGCTGTAATCGCAGACAATCTGATCAATTGTTATGGCGGCTTATAGCGTATGGCGTGTTGCGCGTCGCTGTCGAACAAGCTGCCACCGCCCAGAGAGACCGCAATTGTATGGGAGAAAGTAAATACGTAAAGGATCGAGCGTGAATCAAGGCGAGTCGCGTCTTTGCTTCTTTTATAGCTTATAGCCGGGCTTAAATACAGCTGCATCTAGTTGAAGGTGAAGTCATTAGAGCTGCTGTTGGAATTGTGGGCCCGGAGGCTGTTGCCTGCATCGAAGCCACACTTGGGGCTCAGCTGCTTATGTAACAGTACCTCGGTACCTCGACAAGGCATCCAATGCACAACATCTTGTATCCTTGACAGCTTCGCCTTTCGCAATTATTGCTCCATCTGGCATCTCCGGGGCTTGAACGACTTTCCCCCGAGACAATTGCACAGAATCTTGCAACGACACAGGCAAAATGACACGTGACACATGATGCATGACACATGCGTCTTGGTCGGCAACAGGACCCGATCCAGCGGCTTGCTGGGCGTCTCATCTTCTAAGCTTTTCAAACCCAAGCTGCCTTTTCACTTCACCAAATGAATCGTATAAATGGGATAGACAGCATATGGCTCATATTGGCTAATCAGCAGCAATGACAAAGAGAATGTGTTGCTGTATGAGCAGCTGTCAAAAACTCGGCATCTCCAAGATGAACCACTTGCAGGAACAGTCCCTCATGGAGTCATGGCACTCGTGGTCGGTGCAACTCGATCGCGAGGGCAACACAAGGTGACGTGCCGCTACTGTTACCGCCTCTGTTCCTTACTCCAAATCTCTACACTTGTAGCCTTTGAGCCCAGTGGTTCCTAGCTGTCGACATGCAACTACTAAGGAGACAGAAGGAGATGTCTGCAAGTTGGCGGGGGGTCATTGTTCCTTCCAGAGTGCTATACAGAGCATCTTCCTTTCGGAAAGCGGGTACCCATAGGGATGTTTATTCTGGGATGGACGTCTAGTCGATGTTTGCTGTGTTCTTCGAGCTCTCACAGACATCACAGGAGGCGAGAATACCAATATCATCACAATCGCTACAACGCCGTGCCTGGCCAAAACACATTTACAAAATCCTCAAACTCTACACTCGTTACAGCTTCATCTTCATAGCATCTCATCCAAACCAACGCTTTCCATCAACGAGCAATCATGGCGGACGAAACCGAACCTGTTCAGGATCTGGCCGTCAAGGACATCAGCTTCCCCGTTGACTACAGTTTTGTGATCGAATTCATGGTCGGACAGGAGACGCCAGAATTCGAATACGACTCTCCTTCAGAAAGCTCTTCTGATGAAAACCCGCGGCCCCCAAGACTTTGGGCCTGTCCTGTCAAAGAAAAAGACCCCAGCGCTGTTATCCTGGATAAGTGCAAAGATTTGTTGGTGAGACATGGCGAGTCCGTGGCTATCTGTCGGGACCCTTCATCTCCCGAGACGACCATGGCATATTTCCCTGAAGAGGATGGCCCGCCCATGGGCTTAGGGGGCCACTGGTTCATCGAACCCTCAGCCACCACTTATCCAAGGCGACACAGCCCCGAGTCGTATGAATGGTTTGGCGTGCGGCTTCGCAGTCCAACCTACCGCGAGCCGGAACTTGTGGATAAGATGACTCCAGTTCAATGGATCCTTCGTTTGTTGCGAGCAACACTCGTGATCCATCTCAACTCGACGTGTAGATTCAACGTTCACGTCAAACCCGCACTCATGCCAATCTCTCTGCTCACTGCCAAGAAGATGACGACACTTGTGTGGGTTCTCGAAAAGGAGCTGCTTGAGCGCGTCTGCCCCAACTCTTACGGGTTGCCGTATCCCCATGTCAAAACATTGGAAACGTGCTCTCGAATCTCGTCTCTTGTCTGGTATGGCTCTGGAGGAAGATCCCGTCAACAAGATCCCCTTAGGGCTGCCATCTCGAAACAGCATCTTCCCGACCTCCGCAACATGGACCTTTTAACCAGGCTCGAACTCGTATGGGATGCTGGCTCAACCGACGAACTCGCCAAGGGCCTCCTTGGGACCAATGGCGCTGCCACGTCGTTTGGTATACGGCCTGTTGGAAAGTACACCCATGGCCCCACGTTTGAGTTCGGCTATAGCCTTTGGCATCCTTACCGCGACCTGGACGCATCCCAGTACTGGATTGACTTGTCTATACATCTCCTACGGGCCACAGCGCGCAATGCCGACAGCTTTAAGCAGTACATCTCGCAGTTGGATGACTTGATACACGGCTTCTCAGTTAACAGCACGCCCTCTACGCATCGATGGAAATCGCTCTTGTCGACGCTCGGATTAACGGACGAATGGTCTGCTCCTTGGGAGGCCATCGTTGATCACTACAAAGCTGGCCATCGGCTGGCTTATCGATGGGTCGATCGGCAAGAGTTTCTGATACCATATCAGCAGGAGAACCCAGGGCGGGGGACGGCGCAACGATGAAGTGTCCTTGACGCGACTTGTGCGTATTCTGCATTTTAACTTGCTCAGCGCTCTTTGATAGCGAATTTTGTATTTATTGCTCTTGGTAATGGGACCTTTTGGCATAATTTGGCGGTCTTCATGAGCGCTAGGTACTGAGTTATTCTATAGCAATTAAGGCGTGTTTCTGTCGCAGGCCACCTGTTCTCATAAATTAATATTACTTTTAAGATCCTGGTATGGAATGATATGGTATGCTATCTAAAATGAAGCTGAAGCTAGCCGAAGCCAGCCAAAGATCCGCTCTATGTCTACATTATTTCATTAGGTAGTCGGCAGCTCGAGGTCTGCTGTTGCTTTTATTTCCACTTCCACTTACTGTTTGATTAAGAAACGCAAAGCAAAGGGCTAAAGCCATCGCTCCATCGCAAGCCTCCCATGATGGCAATCATTACTGCTAGAGCGACTGCCACGCTGCTAAAGCCATATATATACGAGTGGCTTCGTTTGAGGCTGCTCAGCTCGGCAACCCACGTCGAGATGGTGGTCAAGCACCCGCAGAAACCATCCTCGATGCCCTGCAGCACTTGACACCCGACGACCCCCCCTATTTGAGCGTGAGCAATGTCCCACGACATGCCCAAGACGGCGGTGCCAGCGATGTTGGCGGCGAACGTGCCCAAGGGAAACGAGGCGATCTTGCCGTTGAGATAGATGGCGAGGTAGAAGCGAGCGAGGCATCCCAGGGGCGCGAAGACGAGTGCGAAGAGGATCTCGCCGCGCCATTTGTTGTGCGGGGGGAAGACGGCCATGAGGATTGCGCCGAGCCAGCAGCCCCAGCCGAGGAAGACGCCGAGGGGGTCGAGGATCTTGCGGGTGACAGGGTATGGGATGGACGGGGTGAATCGTTCTAAAGCGATGGCGAGGTGGGCGCCGAGGATTAATCCTGCTAGCGAGAGGGAGATTGTGGTGAGCGTCACGGCGAGGAGGGCCATGAAGGAGTATCCGCCGTTTCGGCCTGGGATGCCTAGACCGGGGGTGACCATTTGGTTGGACAGGGCGAGGAAGATGTCGCGGATGAAGCTTGAAAAACTGGTGAAGCTGCCGCAAAAACCGGTAGCTAGGCCAATGTAGAGAGGAATCGTCTTTTTGGTCGCCAGATGCGCCTTCTTGGCTGCTACCAGATCGATGACTTGGTCGCCCTGTCTTGAGCTCCCCTCGCCATTGCTTCCATTTTCTTTTGCGCGCGCAAGCAATTGGTCGTATGAAGGTGTTCCCCATTCATAGCGGAACAACATCCGATCTTCGGAGAGGAAGCCCATGATGAGACTTCCGCCGAAGTTGGCCCATAGAATGTCAAATATGACGGGATCGCCAGGGTATGTATTCAATGCGCTCAATCCCACGCGCGCAAGAGTGCCCCATATGGCAAAGAAGACGAGGTACGATATCGTGTAGATCTGAGTTGCTAGTCTCGACACATGGTGTTCCTCTTTCTCATCGACGGCCTCGACATCGGTCAATTCTGCCGGTGGGGGTTGGCGCGGTGACTCTGCGAGGCTGGCACGTCGCGATTGGAGCCCTTCGCGGTCTCGAGTCCGGATCTGCTCTAGGCTGCGGTGCCTGTATATGGACGACTCGGCGACGTTTTCCACGGGGCTTGTTGCCGCCAGTTCATCGAGATTTGCCCAGTCGTCCGGAATGTCGTATGACTGGGCTTCTGTGACGGATCGCCGCCGGGCTTCGCGAGCGGGGGATGCCGGCGCTGCTGCTGTTGGCGCCTGATTTGCATCTGGAATATCGACTGATAATGCGGTGGTGGCATCGTCGAGGTTTTGGTACGCGATTGGGGCGTTGTAGCTGCCAGAGCTGGATCGCCGCGCTGGGTCGTGTGATGAAGCCATTGTGGCTGGATTAGAGGTTGTCTTGGCTTGGAGAGTCGCTGGAGTTGCTCAGCCGGGGAGATGGACGGCGTTTGAGCCACGGATCATGTCGTATAGAAAACTGCGCATTTGTTGGAGCTGGGAGGGAAAAAATGCGATTCATATTTGAGCTGGATGGGAGTGAGTCGGATGGGAGGCAGACCAGGGCAGGGGAGAGAAGTGCAAAAGCCGAGAATCAACCGCAATCCATCGGCATCTATATCCGGTCAGAGCTGTACCTATGAGAATGAGCTCCATTGTGCATTGGAAGATAAAGAACTGCTCCTATACCGGCGTTGAAGAAATGGCAGCGGGAAGAATTATTGAAGCTTCTTGGCATCCTCTAATCAGCAACTTAAATAAATAAATCGCCGTATCATGCGCACTACCCATCCGCAGCAGCGTATAAACCGTGGCCCGTGTTCCCATCCAGGTCCATATCCGACATATCCATTATCCTTATCAGCAGAGACCCCGCTAACGGCCCTCTCCGATGCCCGATAGCACGCCTAAGAGCTGCCATCTCCACCACTCCGCACAGCGCCGGCAGCGCTATACTCTAGCAGGGGCTTTAGCACTGGCCTTAGCACTGGCCCCTCCCCCACCTCGAGGTCCCTCTTGATATGCCATGCCGTATCTCGCTACGTAATTTGTGCCCAAGTCCAAGACCATCAGCTGCATCTCTTACTTCTTACCTGGCCGGTCCATCACGGCCGCTTTCTTTCTCCTCTTTACCTCCCGACTCTTGCTACGGTGGCTATCTTCTTATTTCTCGTTGATTGTCGCCTTAATTTGTCCCGACGTCTTCTTGAAGCTTCCACCTTCTACGTCTTACATCGCTTACTCGTAGCTCCTATATTACTTACAACCTCGCTGCTCTACATACGCCCAACATCTCCTCCCGATATCCCGAAATTATCATCAATCATGGCCAATCTGCCTTCAAACGTCCATGTCTCGCAGCATCCCAGCCTGCTGGCCAAGCTCAGCCAACTGCGGTCCCAATCCGCCAGTCCCCGAGACGTCAAGTCCTTGATCCACGAAATCTCATTAATCATCGCTTGTGAAGCCATCAGCTCCGCCATAAAACCAGTCGATGGCCCCAAGGTGTGTATTACTATACCATATGTGCCTCTTCTCTAACACAATTGTAGGGCAAAACCCCCCTAGGCTTTGAATACGCAACCGTCGTCTCTGAGCCCAGTAATATCTGCATAGTCCCAATCCTGCGGTCTGGCTTAGGCATGGTTGAAGGTAAGTGCCACGCGATACTCTCCTCTTTCCTCACACACCCACATACAGGCATCGTATGGCGACTAACAGCTTGCTTCCAGCTGTACAAACCATGCTCCCAGCCTCAGTACCCATCCACCATCTCGGCATGTATCGCGAGCCCTCGACTCTCGACCCTGTCGAATACTACAACAACCTCCCCCGACAAAACTCCGCCTCTGGCCCCGAAGGCAGCAAGCTCGCCATCATTGTCGACCCCGTCATCGCTACTGGCGGTACGTGCGCCGCGGCCATCCAGACCTTGCGCGAGTGGGGTGCCAGGAGGATCCTTGTCTTGTCTGTCCTTGGAGCTGCAGAAGGTGTCCAGAAGGCTGCGGCGGAGTGGCCTGAGGGTACGGAAATCTGGGTTGCAGGTGTCGACAAGGAATTGACAGATGGCGGCATGTTGAAGCCCGGCCTGGGTGACGTTGGAGACCGCCTGTTTTTGACTATTGGCAAATAATCACCACACCAGGCGGCTATCGAAGGACATCATGGGCAACGAGATAAATCGGTTCTTGGGTATAGCGTTAGAGATGGTGTTCAATAGGCATAGGCGCAGAGAAAATTCTATTTTTGGTGGCTTTACTTTGCTCTTTTCTTCTTCTTTTGTGGGGGGGGGGGGGGGGGGGGGGGTGGTTTTTTCTTTTTTAAGGGAACGCGCAAACCAG